CTTTTGTATAACAAACAAAAATAAATAAACAGGGCTAAAGATTATACAAGGTCTGTCCTAAAGTATCCAGCCATGTAATAGGAAAGATAGAGACATTTATTGAAGAAAATTGTACATAGGACAATGATGACTCAGATCTCTTCAAAGTTGGCACCTTGGGACCTTGCACAGTTCTCCCAGCATCCCTTCCACTGTTCAAAACACTCTACAAAATCCTTTGTTGGAATCGCCATCAGCTGCCTCGTCATATTTACCTCAATTACATCGACAGTCTGTCCAATTGACATTTTGGATTTAAAATATGTATGATATGAAAAAAGAGCCTGACCATGCATCTATTGATGATCTTGTACATGAATGAATCCAGATGCCCAAACCTAAGATCCAATATGATCCAGAAATCTTCCCAAGAATGGTGACTATCAATGTCAGCATAGGAAGATCGATTCCATATAAATACCTATAATTTTACAATTGAATTTAATATACTCACAAAAGCATTAACAGTTTTTGTTTTACTTTTTACATTAAAAACATGCAGAAATTATAAACCAAAAGTAAAATCTACATTTCAGTTTTTCCACTATTATTATTACATTTTTTTCTGTGTTTAAATATCAGTGTAGAGAATGGATAGAATATGAACTGTCTAGAATGTAGCACAGAAATACAATTGCATGTTTGCCACATATATGATAATTGATTAATAAATAAAAAATATAAAATTGGTCAAATACTCTATTTGTGCCCTTTTGGATGTGTAATAAATCTGATTGTATTTCCTGGGTAGAAGATTCTTAAAAAATATTTAAATATTAACAAAACATTTAACACAGGCAACAGAAAACACAGACATACAATGGGTTGACTTTAAAGAAGACAAGAAAGTATAACAACCAGTATAACATATTTATTTTTAGAAAGCCTAACTTGAAAAACAATGCCAATGGGATAACTTTATGCCAATATGCAATTTATCAGTATATAAAACAGTTTGGAAACATTTCTATTAAAATTTTAATAAGGGTAACCCAAGTTATTTATAAAATTTCATGCCACAAGAGATATGTTGGTGGTCAAATGAAATAGAAATGAATTTGAAACAAATACAGGCTTATGGTAATAAAATAAATCCCAAGAAAAAGCCATCACTATTACATATGCATGCCAGTTTCTGAGGTTTCCAAGTTATCTAAAAGAAATAGTTGAATTGAGCTAGTTGTAAATGTCAGGTAAAGGAGAAATGCTGCATGTAACAAAATCCCTGTTTGAACAGACTCAGAGAAACAGCCTTTCGGCTATTTATTCGTATGGATGGCTATTTCGCGCTGTTGCAATAAACCGAACAAACTACCAAATCTCCCGACCTCCCACTGAGGTCGTGTGCAGCTCATTTGCCGCCCAGACCTTGCGGTTAACCGCAGGGTAATTGAGGAAAGGCTTGGTGGTCCATGTTCGTTTGCCAAACACGTGGCGGTCGCCATTTTAAATCGTCAAACGCTCAGCGGGGCAAGGCGGTGATTCTCTGGAACTATTTTCGGACACTTATTCAGCCGAAC